TTGTGCATATTAAAATATTTTTTAATGTATACAATCAGCCAATTTAATTGTTTAAATAAAATATGTTCATAAATACAAGAGCCAAAGGACACACAGCCCCTTGATAAGTTTCTAGGGTTAAGCCATTGTATTAGGCAAACGTCGTTCACCACGCCACTGATTGAGCGTAAAACGTATCAGATCTTGATTTAGGCAAAATAAATTTGTGCAGTTGTCACATTTTACACGCCAGCAAAGATTAATAGTATTTTGTTTTAATTTTTTTTTATTTATTTTGGTAAATATGACCAAGACGTATACGTGCGTACAGCGAACGGTGATTAACAAATTACATTAATTATACTTTACGTTTAACTTGGAAGTTATACTTTATAACAAATAGATCTCATTGATAATTTTTTTTCTGTTTAATAAAAATAATTACTCATATGTTGTGTTCAAAATGATAATATTATCATATTAATTACGGTGATTTTTTATATTTAGCCGTGTGTAACAAGTGAACGCATCTGTGAAGTATACATTGACGGTTATTATACAGGAACAGTAATCTGCATAATTGTTGGATGCATTTGGTATGGTGTTTTTAAAAATATATTAAAAGAATATCAGTTGTTGCAGCCATCTTATTGGTTGGTAAACGTTGAAGAGTACAACACCAAAGAAGTGGTATAGGAAACGAGTGTTATAATATCTTTGACATGAATGCAGTTATCACTTCGAAATTAATTAATACGAAACGATTATTACATATATTGTTAAAATATTTTACATTTTTTCTAAGAAATTAAATTCCAATCAATGAACCGTCATCAGCGAACCTATTTGACCAATAAGTGAGGAATTCTCAAATATTGTTTAACAATTGTAATTTTTACATCCTCTATGGAATAAAAAAATAAAACTTAACAATAAACGTTATACAATACATAAATAATTTGATATACGTAGACCAAAATGTATGTCTCGTCGAAAGTTCATTAATACCGCGGAATACAAACGCAGTGGTGGGGTTCTGCAATGTGAGAGTCCGTCCATTGCCAGTGTTGGGGGTGAAATACCCCCTTACCCCCTAAAAATTATTTATTTATATAGTCAGCAATCATTAACAAATTAAATAATATTAGTATTGTAGAATATTGTTTTAGAAAGTAGTTGGGAAATTCCCTCAATATTTGCTAGCGCTGGTCCTGTGACAGGTCCCAGGTCCCAAGTACCCCTAGACCCTTCATCCACAACGGCAAGGGCCTTAAGGCCTAATTATTAATTAATTTTTAATTTTAAATCTTGAAAAATCCAAATATTATAACTGTAATTTTATTTCTTCGAAAATATAAGAAGTCGTATTGAACAGAATCGTGTTCTATAATATTAAAATTGTTATAATTATTATTTTTGTTCATCAGTTTTGGCAGTTTGTTTTGATGGTGATCGGTATTGTAGGAGGTGTTCAAGCGAAGTACAAAGAATAAAATAATAAAATTATGTGCACTATTATGAACATTGTCTCAATCTCGTACTGATCAATTCATTTTGTGAAAATTCTAGTGCACCCAACAATAAACTTATATTAACTTTTTCGGTACGATATAATTTGTTTGAAGAAAGTCCAATGCGACATGTAGTAATAGAGAAAGTTACGTTAGAAGCAAGATCACATCTAAAATATTTTAAATTATGCTCTATTACTCGTTGGATTTGTATATAAGAAGCTGTATGTGCAATGAAAAATAATTATAGTATATTAATAGTTGCCATTGATGAAATTTGTAAAAACTACTGTTCCATATATGAAAGCTAAAGGTAATGGCTTACTTCACCAACTTCAAAGTTTTGAATTTCTTCTAGGCTTGTATCTTATGGAATCAATTTTGAAAATAGTTTTAAAAGTAAGTTTAGGTCTTCAGTCTCCTAAACTATCTATTAACAGCTATTAATTATATTCAAGCACTTAAAAATTCATTAATATTTTTGAGAAATTAAACATTTTTAAAAACATTTTTGAAGAAGTTCCTATCAAATATATTATTAGATATTATTATTCTTGTGGTTAAAGGAAAGAAAGTGAATGTGAGGTTAGATAAAATTATTCTAATCAATTGTACTCTAATCTCTTTTCTATGACTCCGATGTTCTGTATTTAATCTGTTAATAGATAATCTTATCAATGGTATTTTGGCGAGTACGCGGATGCACAAAGATAATGTTCGACGGTGTGCTATCCGCACACTGCAAACGAATGATAGTTTATGGCGTCGATATATATATATATATATGTATAATAATAATAAACAAACCACGTTTGAATAATAATAAAAATTAGTATATATTTTAATACGACATAAAATCAATACATGCGAATAATGAAACAAGTAAGAGGACTCGCGTTGGTCGAGCGGGTCGTCGATCAAGAGCACGTATATAACCAAAAGACGTAAAGGCGGTCGGGAGTTACGTACGTGTTGATCGGGCGATCGGTCGAACGAGAAGCCCAAGCTCGGCGCGCGAAGATGGCCGTGTCGCCTCGGACGGCCGTGCTGCGATAAGGCAGGGTGACCAATCCAGCGGCGTCGAGCGTGGTGAGGAAATATGTGGCAGTGTGTCCGCCACAGTATAAGTATTACATTTGTGACGGTCATCTCGTCACGATCATTGTGGCTACCAACGTGACGGCACGACAATCAAAGCTATATTCAGGTCGGTCGAGCGGTGGCGTTGGTAGCACCGTCGACTTACTGTCTTTTCCCCGGTGTAGCTTTCTTTTGTCGCGTCGTCCGTTCTTCTCTCGGCACTCTCGTAACCGGAACATCTCCGACATATTTTTTGTTCTTTTATTAATAAACGACCAGCTTAAATCTAATCTCGACTACTATCTTTTTAATTTGGTCTGTTAGTTCAAACCTTTAGCTCACAGTCAAACATTCAATCAAGACAGCTTAGATTTGATTAGTGCTGTGGCAAATTATAATTAAATAATAGTTTTTCAAAAATGTTATCAAAATTATTCAATAAACCAATTAATGAATTGGAGTAAGATATTACAATTCTAAAACATATGCCTTATGTACCAAGTGGTACATCCAGTGAATCTGTATATGTGTGGTTAGACTGGTTAAAAGAGAGTGGACGGTTAGACATTTTTAACAATATATATATTTAATATTAAAAATGTTTATCAAAATACCAGCAACAAATTGTTACATGCGAAAAGATATTTTCAAAACTAAGTATAGTAAAATTAACTCATATGTACTTTGGGCTAAGATAGGCTAGAATCATTAATACTAATATTCATAGAACAAGAATTAGCTGGTGAACTAGATTTTAATGAAATTATTGACGAATTCAAAAATTTCATACCTTTTAAACGTCGATTATCATTATAAGAGATTGTATATCTATATGTTGTCATATTGTTATGTAATATGTATTAAAATTAAAATTTTATAAAAAAATTATTTTTTGTGAATTTTATATAAATATACCAATAATGGCTTTCAAAATTATTGTGGCCTTAATTTTTAGTGTACACTCCAGGAACCAAATGTTTGCGCACGCCTATGTTTCTTTCTTCCAATAACAATTACGTAAAACCAATGTTTGTAAAAAAAAAAAATAGTCTATAATGCAATGTGATACAGAAAATAATTTACAGTTCCACTTTACATGAAAATAAACCATAATAATAATAATAATTATCATCTATTTTCTTTTCAAAAATTCTTCAAAAATAAGAGACACTGCGAGATTTTTGATAAGTACATAGGTCAGTGGTGGGTGTTTATTATTTGTTTGTAAAATGTCAATTGCTTCTGTAATTTTAAATTCACCTAGCCACTGGTATTTATGGTTTATTTGATTTTGCAATTTACCACCCACTGTAAAATACATTAACACCGAAGCAGCCATCGTAACTCAAGAAGAGTTATTTCACAATGCTTCAAGTGTTGCGATCATTTACCCCTAAAATATATACTAAACAGTTACCGGAATATGTTTTCAAGCCAATAGCGACAAATCTCATCTTATGTCTAAGGTTAATAGTAGTGATAAATAATAAATTATATGACTAGAGTCGAATGTAACAATTTGAGAAATCATAAAATTAATTTAAGAACATAAAAGCACGATCGGAAAAACCAAAAAATAATTTAATATACCATCGCCATCGTTATTTTTCGATAAAATTACATATTATATCCATACTGAATAAGTGTACTTTAATTAAATTACGCTAACACTCAATAAATATTATTATATAAGCTATTATATATTATATAAAACTAACGATGTTGCTAATAGTACAGACATTTGATCATATATTTTAGTTATACGATCTTTTGATGAAATACATTTCTGAATGGTAATAAATTATTTCATTTAATCAAAATTGTTTTCTAAAAATGGTTATATGAATTTAAATGAAGCTGCACTTATTGATCTAAACAATTTTGTCAGGCGTCTAAAAGGGATAAAAAATGTTTAGGAATAGCTAAATACCGTCGTTCGGATACCGCCAGTCTAAAAGAGTTACATTTATTTCGTTTTTATTTAGTTTCTAAATTTAATTTCAATTTGTGTTTTTTTTACAACAATGGCCATTAATAATATTGATTAAGCAACTGGCTTTAAATGTTACCAGACAAATATATCGCAACTAAGCTATAACTACGAACCAAGCGAATTCGATATCATTCAACATTGTTGATGCTTTAGGTGAACACTATTTTCAAAAATAATTTTCCTGATTCATACTCGTATATCAAAACTATAAAAATAATGGGATCCATAACGAGGTAAACGGAACTAAACGATAATATCATAAAATTAACATCGTAACGATTTTGTTCCTCTGCCGCGCAAAGCTATCACGTCTGACGTGAGACCGAATGCCCCACCGGGCATGTATAACGCGTTTTGTTTTTTCAGTTCCGATCACCGTTGCGCTTCCGAACGCTGTTGCAGTTCTGACGAGACAACGGAAAAGGAAATATGGCATTTTATGGTGTTTTGCGTCATCTGCGGGTGGCCAAAGATTTGGACCGCAATGACAGAAGATGACTATGGTGAGTACGGTTGAATTTCTCGATTCGCGCGAGATTCCGAGGATAGTAGATCTACTTCAGTTTTCATACGTGTCTCATACTTTTAACGCTTTAGCTCGCCGTGGTTTTGCGCATCGGAGATGCATTGCCGGAGCACTAAGATGGGGACGACGAGACGGACGACATATCCATGTTGATCGTCTTTGCTGCCCTGAGGCCACAGCCGAAACTGTCACGCAGACGGACCAAGTGTCTGTCACTAACGGAGATTCAGTTTACCGCACTCCAGTGGCCACTCGTGACGTCGCGTGTGGCCATTTCGAAATATCATATGCGGATGGATACACCCAGGCTAGTCCGGCCACTAGCGATGTTGCGTCCGGTGATCAAACCCTTTACGTAGACAAATCCGCTCAGGTCGATGTGACTATGTGCCAGATCACTTCAGGCGTCGACGTTGAGTACGTAAACGGTCCCGCACGTTCCTGTAACGTGATGGTGGAAAAAAAAGGCGCGGACGATGGCCGATGAAATGGCACAATTGGTCGACGCACAGATAACATTGGGATTGCCTGCAGCCTTGGCACCGACGGCCGATAGTACCTCTGGCCCCAGCACGGAATATCGCTCGTCAAAAGCTGAAACCCAGGTGAGGACGATTATAATGCCGACCGATTTAGGGCAGGTTTCTAGTAGTTAATTGTTCCGTGATAAATGTGCGACACGAAAAGAGAAAATAAAAATCATTGAGTATCTCGAAAAACTAATAAGATCACGGTAAAAATTTGTGTGGAGGAGGGCATTTTATCAATGTATACTATGGTGACCATATATTTGGAAAAAAAAAGGGACAAATATATTCTCTAAAAAAAATATCACATTTTTTTAACTTCTATATTATATACATATATGTCTCGTACATGAGTTAACTGTACATATGTATATAGGTACAATATGACATGTCTTATGTTTATCACTAATTTTATTATACGTTAATACTCCAGTACACATTATACGAAGACGGTTTTTTATAATTTAAATTTAGAGTAGTGAACATCATAAAAAAAAAAAAAAATTAACATGTAAAAATATTTAAAATCGTACTACAAACGCACGTGTAAAAGATCGATTGAAAGCATAAGCACTCACTCACATCCATAGATATTAAACCGATTCAATTGTTATTCTCTCAGGAGTCAACATTGAACCAAACTTTTAAATATTGGAAACTGCGGTTTTCGCTATTCTCAAGGTTTGACGAGGGAATTATGCTCGACGAGGGTAAGTTATAATATAACATACGCGAATTCATTTTCTAACGATGTGAATCTTTTTCCACGCGATTACGCAGCCAGTATGTACTCCGTTTGCCCAGAGGTACTGGCACAGCATATTGCCAAGCGGTGCACTTCGTTCGGCACGGTCTTGGACCCGTTTTGTGGTGCCGGGGGGAATGTTATACAGCTGGCATTGATTTGTGATCACGGTAAGCTTGTTCATACTATTATTGAACAGTATTATAATTCAACGCAATAATACGATACGTTGATGTCTTTTTTTTAGTTATCGCCATCGACTTGGATCCAAAAAAAATAGCTTTGGCCAAGAAAAATGCAGAGGTTTACGGAGTGGCCCACCGGATAGATTTCAGGGTGGGAAATTCTTTTTCGGTGGCCACTAACCTCAGGGTGGACGCCGTTGTCACCTCACCACCATGGGGCGGTCCAGGATACGAAAGGCGAGCAAAGTTTGACGCCAGAGACCTTTGTGGACGTGACACGGGTGGCATGGCAGCTATTATTCGGATGGCACGTGCAGTTGCGCCCAGAGTGGTTCTGCACGTACCAAAGAATATAGATAAAGACCAAGTACGCGTTACGCGATACTTAACATAATAATAATATAACAACATGTGACGTATACAATACTTAATATCGATCCCCGGGACAGCGAAAATGTCATATTTTGGTTAAAAACAGATACTAGTTATACGATATTTTCAAATATTTACTGCATGTGATAAGTGATATTATATAAGCCTGTTGCCTTAGATTAAAATAAATAAATAAATAAATTTAATTGAATAATACATTTTATTTTTGTTTCATTTTTTCCGTGCACCGCAGTGTTTGCAGATAGCAATGGACGAGGGGTTCAGTCAAATACAGTACGAAAGTGTATCGATTGACAAAAAGCCGAACTGTCTGAACCTCTATCTAACAAGAGTACGTATTACAATACTATTATAATTTCTGCTATAAGTATTTTATCATCCACGGACGACGTTGAAATTCTATGTATCCACGTTATTAAAAGTACCTAAGACATATCCAAAGCGCGTTAATTTCGACTTTCATTTCATAGTCCTATAGTAAAATTGTTTCAATTGGTTTGAAAGTAATAACGACTATTTTACATTGACAATGTGTTATCGTTTTTAGAACGACACTCACACTCGAGGAATACCAGTTCAATCTACAAAATTGTTACAACTGGATAATCCATGTAACTAAAGAACTTTCAGTGTATATACTTATAAATCGGTAACGCTTATGCTAATTTTGTTTTCTCTTTCCTAGCATTAAATAGACAACAAAAAATGGAACGTCTTCGTACAGAGAATAAGTTCATGTACAAAACGTATTTAAATAAGGTTGCCCGATTTTTTGAAAAAAATCATTTATAAATTTATTGGATTATTAAATATATAAGGCACAACGTAAGTTAAAAAAACGAGAAACAACATATTTTGTTATTATTACTAATCAAAAATAATTTTTTTTTCTAGATCATTTTCGTCGTAACAAAAAATGAAAATAAATAAAAGAACTCGGCTTTTTGTAATTTTACATACTTTCAATTTTGGAAATATTCACGAAAGTATTCATTTTTATAAATATTATGCGACTTTTTTCTTGTTACTTAAATGAAACATTTATCCCATTTATTATTATTTTTTTTTTTTTTGAGTAATAAACTACTTTTTTTATACTAATGTGTTTGTATTCATAATTTCCATTTATTATACTGCTGTATCTCAGATCATTTGATCGTGTATGCTTTTTGTGAGTAAAACGAAGAAAAACTGTAAAAAAAACTTAAAATTTCAACCCTCATTACTATAGCGTGGATTTATATGCATTAATAACCAACCAAATATGCGCTAAAAATATCTCTAACATGCACGAGTATATGTACTTACTAATGTATTAAAATATACATTACAGAAAAAAAATATGCAATCAAAATTTAGAAGAAAAAATAATATAAATTATTATTATTTATTATATATTATTATTATTTTATAAATAATAATGCAGTTATATACTTAAGAAATACCTTAATAAAATTATATACATATATATAACTTGTTGATTGAAGTCTAAACAAAATGATTTAATATAAATCTAATTTTTATAAATATTATTATTATTAACTGTTATTATATTAATTTACAAGGAGTGGCCATTTTTATATTTATATTAACCGTGATTTAACAATATTTGGCCCTCCCCTCCCCCCCCCCCCCCAGATTACACCTATGTTACTGCACACTGCTGCGACCCAGGGACCCGATCTTAACTCCGCGCGGGAGAGTGCGTGAACGCATAACGTACAGAATACGATATTTTACAGTTATGAACCGGTTTCGTCGAGCAGCCATCCGATAAAAACAAAAAATTAATCAACAAACAACGACACGATAACAACGTTCGGTTATTCGAACGAGTACCGTACCTGTGCATCGGGCCAGGTATACACAAACCCATTTACCCGGCGTCGATGTTGTTCGCGTGTACTTTTACACGTAGCAGAATTCAAAACTGAATCCGAATATCGCATTCTGGACACGTTAACGGTTAACAACCGGACGAACGATTACACGTGCGTGTGTACACGTTTTCACCGTGCCCACAATACGAAGTGTATCGTGTACACGTGCCTTTGGTATCGCGATTTTTTTTTACTGATATTTTAAGACCCGTCGTGGTGCGAACATCGATCAACGCAAATAGTTAGAACCGAACTACAAGAACGGCAGCGTAAGTAACGGTCGGATAATGTGCTGGTACTTCAAAACGATAATCGTTTTTTTCCTTCGGTTTCCCTTAAAATTCAGAGGGAGCAGGGGTGGAAAGAGAACCGCGAAAAATACCCCAACGGCGAAGAAACGATTTTCGGCTTTTTAAACGGTAAAAAAACACCCACGTCTCCCGTATATCAAAATTGCCATACGATCTTAAAATGTTTAGGCGAACCATCGGGTTTCGACTGAATCAATAGCCACCATAATTCGTACGAACTGACTTTTGATAAAAGGATAAATAACGATTACCTCTAAGATTCATGTCGCACAAATTCAAAAAAAAACGGATTTAAACACAAGCATACAATAGTTATCGCAATTAATGAAGGTCAGGCACAACAGAGGGCTATGGAGGCTGAATCCCTCTCCCCTAAAATATTAGTTAGTACGGACACAGGTACTAAAAATATTCAAAAAATATATCCACCCGAGTGTACCCTTAGATCCTGCCCGAATTTTATACACAACATTTGGGAGTTGTTTTATTTTTCAATTTTAGCAATTTCACCGACAAAAATGGTATTTAATTGAGTAAATATTATCGGTACACATAAAATGTGATATATATAGATATATATATATATATAAACTATTATGATTGAATAGTTTTAGTTTATACTTATGTTTGGGCTATATATTTAAATTTAAATATACAATATTATCGATAAACCCTAAAAAAAACCCTAAACGTAGTTAAAAATATAGATATTTGATATGTTTATTCATCGAGTTACATGAAAAAAATGATATCAGTTCATTTAGTGAAGTCTAGTGAACAATTCTGCGTACAAATTAGTTGCACATATTTGCTTGCCTCTTTTTTTATTAAATGATTAATTAAATTGTGTATACGTTATTTTTGGTACAATATTTCTTAATTGTGAACTAATACACTTCTTTGTTGATTTTACTACCAAAATTTATACGTGAAGATCTTTATGAATATATTATGGGCTAATAGCACTATCAATAGCACAATCAGGATTTTTTCATGGGGGGGATTCTGACAAAATAAACTAATAAATAAATAATAAATAATTATAATATATATATATATATATCTAGAGTATGATATTAATATACTATTATGCGTATCAAAAGGGGGGATCCAGACCTAGAGTTCACCCCCCCTAGTTGCGCCACTGAGTACTATAAATATACTATTCAAGATAAAAAAATATGACCTTAAATTATGTGTTAAACGTTTTAAAAATCAACAAAGATGATGATGTATAAAATGATATTAAGAAGTTATGAGGTGTTTGGCTACTTCATTTTTTAATAGGTATTTATTTACATTTGCTGGTAGACATGCCAAAACAAGGTTTCGGATCCTCAAATGATAATAATATTGCAAGAAGGTTCTTTAAAAGTTATACAATTTCGGCAGAAATTACAGACATTTCTGAAAACATAATTTATCAATTTTACGTTATTTTACAATGTTTATATTTTGGTCAAAATATAAATATTGATAATTTCGAAATTTATTGTTGAGAAACTGCAGAGTTGTATATCAATTTATATGGTTGGTATTACATGCCACCAAGTGTCCACAAGATTTGATACAAGGTATTAATACATGGTATATCAATTATAAAATCGTTTAACATTGCCAAATGGAATTTTAATTGAGGAGGCTCAAAAATCACGTAATAAGGACATTAAGAAGTACAGAGAATCCTACATTCGAGAGTCTTCTGGAATAAACATTAAAACTGATATTTTTTAAAGGATATTGCTGTCATCGGATCTTCTTATAAGCAGTTTCAGAATTGTTGAAAAAAAATTTACAAAACTGCTACCAGAAGTTGAAGATTAATTGCTAGACATTAGCTATTGCTGTGATGAAGAACTATAATTAGTCTCTGATGAATAAATAATTAAATAAAAAAAGTTTTTTAATTAATTGTAATGTATTTATTTAAATGCATATAATTAATATGTATCAATAAAAATGTAATCCAAAAATAATTATATATTTATGCATATCAAAAATTTAACTATTTAATTTTGGCCACCTTTTTGTGTTTTTCGACCCTGTGTATCGGTTGTATTAACGAATACGTATTTTACGTTAATAATATATGGTTTATGGATCGAAAATTTCTGTATTTTATTCGTTATCGATTGCCAATACATTTCAGAAAGATAATAAATATTCCGCGGTTTGCATTAAAAATGACCCAACAGGTTGTTAGCCAGTATGTTCACTAATTGTATATCATAATATGTTTAGAACTATTATTACTTATAACTTATGTAACTTTTAACATAATTCTAAATACGGAATATACATTATTGCAAACTTAGAAGGATTTTATAAATTACGTATACATTTACATAATAACAAATAACGAAACTGGGGAATCCATAATGAAATTATTTCAATTTTTTACTGATTAGTCGAATGACTTGAATAAATTATGATATCTGTATGAAATGTATGGTAAAAAAAATGATTAGATTTGATTGTTTTATCTATGCAGCGTTGTAACTATATTCCAAAATTAGTTAAGTTTCAAAATTGAGTATATACAAAAAAAGTATACCGTCGTACACAAAAGTGATTTCGGCTAACTACTGCTCTAAATTCGTGCGCTAATTAAAGTTCGATGGAAACCAGAAAAAATAAGAAAAAATGCGTTTCAAGACATATCTTTTAAACACAACTGATATTGCCGATAAATAAATAACAATTTCTAGTTTATTTTTCTCAGCTGATTTCAGATTTTTATACGAAATACACGGAAAGCACTTAAACATAATGTGATACATAATACTTTGTCGATACTACTTAAGTAGTATGTATTCATTCACATATATATTTTTTCTCAATAAAATCGTGTGTTGATTACAAAACCGTAAAACGAAACTATTAAACCAAATTCTATATTTTCTTAATGTTGCACTATGACTTAAATGAAAATCACACGCAAAAAAGTGAAAACTATATAGCACGGTCCTTATTGGGTAGGAAATCTCGCTAACACCTGTTTATCGGAATATCTTTTCGTTAATAATACGAACATTCAGTTCAGTTTGGTATGCGTAAACATTGATATACTTCTTCCACGTTTGCTGTACATACTTCGTACGAAAATAGTATTTATTTTTATATTTATTTTGTTTTAATAAAAAAATAAAAAATCAGTATTAACAAAAAAAAAAATATATATATATATATACATTTAAGATTTCATAGATAGTTTTTACTTCCCCCTCTTATAAATTTATAAATCTTTTAATATAAGACTGTCCTGTGAACCGTAGTAGTGCATATACTAAAATTAAGGATAATATTCGGCTTTAGAATTGGACGTGAAGGACAAATTCGTAGTAAAAACACGATATCAATGGTAATATATATATAATTATAATTATTACGTAAAACGAATAGTCCCACGCTATACACAACGGAGTATCGAAGGAAGCGCGTGTAGGTGGTAGCTACAGCAATTGCGATTATTTTAATTTTGAAAAAGATACCAAATAAAATTATACGATTTGAGCGGAGGACGAGTAGAAAAATATTCCACCGCACATTTCGTGATTTGCCAATATGCGTGTGTTACACACCGGTTGTCGTAGTCGTCATAATT